TTCAATAATGCGTCGAAAAATATTTGGAAACCATTATTTGCGTTAATTTAAGTTAGAATTCTACTAAAAAAAATTAGATTATTCGCTCTCGATTTCTATGAGGTCAGAGTTGATTCGGCCTTCGGCCTCACCAACTATCACCTCATAGAAATCTCGACCTCATAATCTAATTGTTAATTAGTGACTTGTTTATCTTCGTTCGCACCATTATAGTTAATTTTAAATGCTCTATAATGTTTTCTCCTCAGCCTACAAAGAATAACGTTGCCATTGCCTATTCAGGACTAAAAGACCTTCCCAAAGCCACTAAGATGGTCTTCACTTGTTTTCCATTCGTCTTCATCACCATAGGTGCATGCTTAGAGGAGTTCGTTGTCTCTTCTGTCACTACCTTTGGGCCAAAACTACTGGAGGCCCAATTCTACGTACCGGCGGGCCGCTCTGCACTATTGTACGGCGTAGTGGCCATCCCTGTGGCGTTATTTGGAAACATGCTTGGTACGTATTTACAGCTGGGAATTACGCAGGAGTCCATCACTCGGAACCTCCATACGTAAAATTACGTAGAGTCAACCCTTTCCCGTATCGTTCTATTTTTAGAACTGTAATTAGCGCAAGGGTCTCTCGGTTTCCCACGATAATATCTTGTTTCTGCAGATAGAAAATGCAAAATAGAGGGCAAAAGGGTGATCTCTGATTTTGTTGTAACAAAGAATGGCCTTAGATCGGGTTCATTGGGTATCGAAAAAGTGTCGTGTAAAAACTTCCATAAGAACTGTTTCTAAAAATAGAAAGATACGGGAAAGGGTTGACTCACAGCGTTAGTAAAGGAGATGAAGGCTCCGGGTAATGGGCTTCTGGAATTATTACGTCGATTTCCAAATGACATTAATGATGGTACAGGCGCTAACAATAATATATAAGGAGGAAAATGTCTGGTGTGGTCTTTTGTGAACACCTTTTCCCCTTAGCTTCTTAAGAGCGCTGAACGACTACACACCATGATTGGGTTTTTTTATATTTTGAGTTAATTAGGAAACGAAAGGGTTAAAACCCATTTATTCCCTAACTCAAAATATGGATCATCTTTACGAAGCGTCATAATTTTTGTCATGACAGGAGCCTGCTAGCAAGCGTTCCCGTAAGAAGAACCTTTCCGCATTCTGACCGCGCGTAAATTGGAGCGAGAGCAAAAATTCTATGAAGCACCACCACCCCCTGCTTCGTCGACTTTTTGTTCTCGCTCCAATTATTATTATTTACGCGCGGTCAGAATGCAGAAAAGCTCTTTGAACGGGAACAATTGCTACGCAGGCTATCATGACAGCTGAAGTAAGGGTTGTTGCTACATTAAGATAATTGCTCCTTTGTTAATATCTTTTTTTTTTCATCATGGACACTCAATGACGGTTTTCCCTCAAATGCTTTCAAACGCTGTTTCAGTCTATCTAGAGTGCTTTTAAAGCTCTGTACGTTAATTTTAGGCTGCGCTAGAAACGTTTGATCTGTTCGGTCATTCTAGGTGGATCTTGAGTCTCCTCGGATTTATTAGGGTTTTTCTGTCCATTTCTCGAAAACCTTAGGCCTTACTGCCTCTCTGAAAATAGCTGATCTTTTTTTGGTACCCAAAATAAATGACAATTTTTCAATCCGAAAACAACATTTAATTTCCTGCATCATAAACGTTCAAGGTAACAGTTTTCTTGAGGCAAATGGAGAGGATTTACGGCCTCGCGGAGAGAAACTTTATCCGAAAACGATCCGATGGGAGACAATTAAAAGTAATCATTTGTCTTTTAGGAGCTTACATCAACAAAAGATTGAACTTAAACCTGGCGGGAGCTGCCAAGATATGTTTCATTGCAGCATGTATCGGTCTCGGGTGTACTTGTCTACTCTACATCAAATGCGACACATTACAGATTGCAGGAGTAAATACGCGTTACTTGAATAGGTTAGTGTATCTTGTGCAGCTAAGAGCTTTGGAAGTGGCTGATGCCATCTAGTCAAAACAAAGGGATAGGTTGCACCTTTTAGAGCAGTTTTCAGTTAAGCTTGAACAATAACCCGCAATTGCTTTGGTGTCGAATTACTGGGCTCTGTGATTGGTTAAATATCTCGCCCCAGCTACTGAACCAATCGGACGCAGAATCGACACAACCTCGATCCCAGACTCTCCCTTCTTCGCCTCCCAAAGGAGAGAGCTTGAGATTGAGGTTGGAACCAAAGCTGATCGAGATTTGGTCGCACGCAACTCTAACGCTTCGTGGCGGTTACGCGTATCTTCTTCGTGTTCTCATTGATTCATTGTTACGCTTTTGTGTTTAGCCATTGTAATTGCTTTGGTTAAGGCGTCTTCGTCTCAGGCTATTTGTGAAACTGCAGAGGTATGCATACAACCGATTGCGAATTATTAATCTAGCATCAGTAACGAGTCCTTTTTCTTTTTCACGTACAGCTCATCTGCTCTCCAGCTCGATTCAAAATGCAACCAAGCCTGCAATTGCACCGGGGTGAGTTATGATCCCGTTTGCGGAGGGCCGCTGACCTACTTCTCCCCCTGTCACGCGGGCTGTGGTCAAAACGAAAATCAGAATGAGGTATGACCATTTGTCATCTTAGAAAAGCGGTATCTGCTAGCGTTTACACTACTTAATAAAGGCTGCTCATTCTAATTAAGGTTTCGGGAGAAACCACATTTACATTACATTCGTAAGGCATCCTCTTAAAGTCTATGTATAGTATTTCCATGGCATGTGCTCTCTTAAGCATTAGATGGGGCCAAATCAACTCTAACATTGTCGTTATTTTTTCTGTTAGCTGCGAAGAAAGAGACTATTATCGTGCTGTTTCGGTAGGACAGCTCGGTTTTGACTACCACTCATACGCTCGGCGTAGTCACTTTATACACGACTTCGAAAAACAGCTATAATAAGTTGTAATTAATCGATCAAACGCGCTTTAATCTTCACTTTCAGTCTTCTTCCTACTACCAAAGCTGTACCTGTATCATGTCCAAAGACGACCCCATTGGAAAGGTGGAGAAGGACGTGTGCCAAGTGGATTGCGAGCTCAACCTAGTGCTGTTTTTAATTGTACTTTCTGCCGTTGCCCTGATGACGTTCTTGAACGATACACCGGCTTTACTAGTTACATTACGGTACTGTTTCCTAACTTTTTGTCTGTTTGTTTGTTCTTGTTATTCATATAGCTGGTCTCCGCATCAAACATCCTCGAGCGTCCGTTCTGCATGCTAGTTGATTTGTTCCCAGCCCTTTTCATTTCCAGCGTCCTCTAAAAGTTTCATGGGACACTTGGTCTTGCGTACGTCAGGTGTTAAAAAGTCGATAAAACATTTATTTTAAGTCGACAAATGTAAGTCTAACCCGATGGAGAGTGACGAACGTTTTGGGCGAATTTATCAATTTTTAGACGGAACAACATTTTGACAGGTGAAGAGAAATAAGAGCCGACATCTTTTACCGGTACATACAGCTTTGAGATTTTTGTTCTGGATTGTGTGGCACTCCCAGTGATGCTACACTATAACCAGTGCAGTCTCACAAAGGTTTCGAATCGTGCGCAGTCAAGGGTCGATAATACGGAAAGAGCATTCTCGTCTCCAGAGGCCGCGCTCCTTTTGGTCAGCACCAAGAATCACGACCTCTGGGCCGGTTCAACACCGGAAGTCCGCGATTCACGGACTTTCCGTCAAATCTGACAAATCTGACAAATCTGATTGGCTGAGAGTACGAAACGAAAGCTCTGCGCATGCTCAGATAATCGGGTCCGGTCAGAGGTCGCGATCTCTGACCGGACCTCTGACCTCTGGTGCTGACAAAAAGGAGCGTGGCCTCTGGGGACGAGAATGATGGGCGAGTATCTCGCTAGTAACGAAAATGTCTAAGTTCAAACCTTTTAAAAGTTTTGAATTTTTTTACGGGCTTCTTTTTTCCCGCTTTCTCTTCTTTGTCAAATTTAGCTGAGCAAGCAGTTGTTTAAATTTGTCGTTACTGGCTTAACAACTAACGTTACTGACAAGGTTTTCACTCTTTTTTTTTCGTTTTAAGGGGCCTTCCAGCTGGACAACAGGCGTACGCGTTGGGTCTCCAAAGTGATCTGACCAAGATCCTTGGCACTATTCCCGGTCCCATCATCTTCGGAGCACTCATAGACCAAACCTGCATCCTGTGGGACACAAAGTACTCCTTAAACAAATGTCCTGATCTCGTTGTTCCTTCTGCTGTCGCAATCTCGTTCCCCCAGGGGGTGGAAACCAATATAAAGAGGACGGGGACGCTCTTCGGAAATTTTGAAAAGAGCCACCAAGAGGTACCAAGATCCTGTTTAGTGGGCGTGGCTTGAGATTTTTTTCAATATCAATTCTAAAACAACACATTAACCGGCATTGAATGCTTTTTTCCGCTCAATGCCCTCAAAGGTACCGCTGAACCTTCCGCTGTGGACCATTTGAGGCTCAACACCCTGAGAGGTACCAAACCCCTA